CTGTAATCCCCCCCCCCCCTCCCCCGTATTATTGTGCGGCGACGATCGAGTTCACGCAGAGCTGTTTAATCTATCCACCGCCGCGATTCACCCAGCCAAGGGCTGGGGTCGGTGCGTGCGCGCGTCCATGCGTCCCTCCGTGTGCGCGTGTGTGTGCGCGAAAAAATATGGCAAGCATTAATATCGACTGTTTGATCAACAAACACAATAATTGGCATCATATTTATAAATGCCCTTGTTTTTAAAGTCACCAGATGGCTTTTCTTCTTCTGACGTGCAAGCCGCCGCCACCGCCGCTGTTGTGAGATAATTTTCTTCGGGGGTTTGACTCCAGCTTCTCCCCCGTGTCCGTGTCACGGATCGTGCTCCTCACAAACAACACTTCCCATTCTTTACGCTTTCTAGCAGACCTTGAAAGCATTAAAGCATCAGCTTTGTCCATCCGTCCAAAGTAATATTAACAATGTCGACTTTTTTCAAATGTTCTTGTTGTGGTTTTCACACCTGATGATTGCTTGTGTTGCAGTCGAAACGTCGTGAGAATTTTATTGTTTTATATTTTTATTATTTTATTGTTTCCCTTCTACGTGACTTTACCGAAAGAGCCAAGAATATAATGTCGACTTGTGACAAGCCGCAGAGTGAGAACGGCTCAAGATGCGCGAGGAGGAACCGCTGACAAACGGGATGGCAGCAGCCACACGGCGAGCCGGTGCCAAGAATTGCCCAAGCTCTGCAGTCCCCTACATATATATTAAGGTGTTTTCAGCCATGTGGGAGGAAACCGGGGCCACGCGTGCGAGGGGGCAACACCCTATCCCGTACACTCGGAACGGGTACACATTTTGTGCCACTTTCTCCGGACCCGAGCCAGGGCCATGGCACCTCGTCGACGCCCACGGGAAAGGAGTTTCACGGCCCATCTGCGTATGGTCCACCAATCCTCGCCGCTGCCTCCACGGTGCTGTATTACGGGCGTGCACCACCGCCCCATAGCTAGCTCGATAACTCTTGTAAAGGTGATCCAATATGAACAAAACTTTAGCGTAAAGTTGTGTTGCGCCTAAGGACTCACCCTGTTGAAATCTGTCTACATTGATCAGAGGGTTGCCCAAATCCTTTGGGGAAACAAAACCGGCCCACAAAGGACTCCAGTCATACGCCGGTTTATGTCGGAGGATGCGTTCCTGAAAGGTGCGACGACAAATATTGAAACGATGTCAATCGAAGCGATTCACAGGGTAGGCAGTGGAGGTGAAGGCTGAGAGGCGGCGGACAACGAGAAAGGGTGGATGATGTCAGCGACGTAAGTGCGGGTTGAGGCGACGCAAATCGGGTAGTAGTAACAATCAAGTGATGATATATTTACGAAACGACGTAAAAAGGGAGAGACGTAAATCGGGGTATTGCCGCATTTGAAAATATGCCAACGCAGGCTTTCACTACTGCTAACCAAATCCTCCCAGAAGACCGACTTATGTTGCAGGGCGTCGTGCTCATTGCTGCTGCACCGCGCGCGTTTTGGACGACGTGCGGCAAACCTTGCAGAGGCAATTGTCAAGCCGTTCCGTTCATCGCAGCGGTCAGCTGGCGTCATCGGCTCCCGCCGAAAGTGACGGCTGCACGTTTCAAACCACACTTAGTGCTAAATAAATCAAGGAAGAAACAAAAAATTTCGCGCACGCATGGATTTTACGAAGCGCGCTCTCACCACACGCAGCTCTGTCCCTGGGGGCGTTCCAGGGACGATAACGGCGGCGGCGCTCGCGTGAGGCGCACGCAAGAGGCGGCTACGCCCGTAGGGCCTCGTACCAAGTACGACGCCGCGGCGGTTACACGTCATCGGGCCGGACAACGGGGGGTGACCTCAGGGCGCACGGCGTGTGAATGTCGCGGGGGTGACCTCGCACGTAATTATCCTCGGCCCGCCGGGTCCTCGGCCAGAGTGCCGGGGTGGTGTTTGTTTGGGCGGCAATCCGCTGACTGTTTTTTGATTCTCCGAGACTCGTTGAGCAGAGCGTGGCCTTGTGGAACACAAACGATGCCGAATGGCCTGGTAAAATAGCGATGCCCTTGATTATCTAAAACAATTAAAAGCCTCACTGAGTCTCAAGACTTGTTTTTCGGGAGGGTTCTGCAACGCGGTGGTTGGCCAGTTCCGTTCTGGAGTGCTCGACATGAAACTAAAGCTAAAGTGAACTTTTTATTTTATTTTATCATGGAAGGCCCACTGAGCTATACGGCTCTTTTTCAGAAACGACCTGGCCACAAGTAATAGCTCAATTAATTGGCTTATCATGTGGACATTTATAGCAGCCAAATACTCGAAGGGCATGGAACAAGCAAACTCCAACTATACAGGTGTCAGGGTCGGGATCGAACCCGCGACCACCTCTATACCAGGCGAAGTAGTAAACATCTCACCGCCGTGACATGAGGAAGGAAACCAGCAGTGGCGGTTGAAATGACCTCCACTAGAGGGAGCTCTGTCGAGGATATTTGACCCACTCTTCGATGCTGGCCACCACACGCGGGCCGCCGATCAACGGCGATGAACCCGTTCACACCGCCGGGTGGACAGAGGCGGTCTGGGGCGGGGGGATTTAAGAAACACGCCCCATTGCTTCAACTGCCGCGCCTGGAAATCAAATTCAACCGGTGGCCGCTGGATCGTGAACACTCGTTCATTGGCTGAAAACCTTCTTCACGTATAGTGGACGGAAAAGCTTGGGTAATTGCCGGCACCGGCCCACCGCTTGGCTGCCTCTTCCGCTCGCGTGCGGTTCCTCGCGCTGCCTCCGAGTCGTGCGCTCTCCCTTCGAGAGTGAGCGAATATCGTGCGCTACAAGTGGAAAGTATTATTACTACTACTACTGCAAGTTCAGTGTGCTTACCATTACACCATGGCAGCGTAAAAACCGTAAATATTTTTCGGACCAATTTCTCGAGGCCCGTTCTGCTTAAAGAATGGCGCAAAAACATGAGGATACAGGGTGTGGGGGGGGGGGGGAGCGTTTGGGAGTTCTGTTATAGCGCCACGGCCATGACTCAGAATCCCAGGCACACACAACGGCATCTGCTGGAAATTGGGACCCGGTCCCATCCATCCGTCATGTTGTGGAATTTGGTGGACTTGCTCAAAATGAGATAATACTTACCAAAGATTAGATCCGTACGGCCTGCGAGGATTTATGCACAGATGGAAAAGTGAGGGTGCTGCTTCTGCTGGTAGTGCCAGTCATCTCAGTCAGTCAACCCATGGCAACTGGGTCTGTCCCGTGACCTTACAGCCAGCGTTCGACACTTCACGCGGCCTTAAAGTGCACGTATCCTGGCACAAGCGCCGTGGTGACGTCACAGCCACTTAGTGGCGAATGGCGATTGTTGTTGTTTCTGCTGCTGCTGCTGGTGGTGGTGGATGAATGTGGATGAGATAGTGAAACAATGGACGGCTGACTGTCAACCGAGGGAGGCAATTCGGATTCTTACTCGGTCCTGCTCTATTAGTGGTGCGAGGCGAACGCCTGCGTATATATCTGTGTCTGAACATACGAATGACTTGGGGGGGACCTTTGGGTTTTTTATGTGTGCGTGCGTGTGTGGATCGGTTGGCACATTTGACTACCACGCTGTGCTGCGAACCCCGCTGACCTATGTCCAATTCCCAGCCACGGCTGCTAACGTTAGCGGCGAGAGCTTTCCGAAATGGTCCTGGGACTTACCTTGACCGACTTGGTGTGGTGTGTAAAAAAAACACACACATCAGCTCTGGGGAGGAGGCAAATGTGGTCGGGCGTGGTGGCGGCCACATCGCCCCGGTCGCAACATGTGCTCGCTAACGGCCCTCGGCACCAGCAGTCTGTTGGGGGCTTTCCGAGGGGGGATCTTCGTCTTTGTTTTTGTGGCTGCGCGTGAGTGTGCGCGTGTATGTCTGTCTGTGTGTGTGCGCGGCAGTGTAGCAGTTAGCGCGCTGCGCCACGAACCCGGCGACCCGGGTTCGATTCGCGCACATGGCCAACACCAGCGACGATTATCTGAAACAGTCTTGGGCCTGCTCCCCTAGGTCGTCTCAGCCTCAAATGAGTACGTGGTGCAGTGTGTAAACATCGCCACTGGGGAGACAAAGGCGGTCGTGCGTGGTGTTGGCCACCCACCCCCTCGTGTACCGTACCGGTCTTCATAGGTGCTCGCTAACAACACTTGCCCCAACAGTTTGTTCAGGCTACACGGGGGATCTTTGTCTTTGTCTGTCTGTGTCAAGGTGGCTCGGTGCCAGGCTGGGGCCCCCCTCTTCAATCCCAGCAACCGCGATGTCTAATTCCTGGCCGTGTACGTCACCGCCCTTCGGCATCTGCGGCCGGCATGGGCCTCCCCCTAGATAAACTCGGCCCGAAACGCGCGCACAAGCACTTCTTGTTTATGTTTTTTCCCACATCTCGGTCGCTGAGCGAAGGCCCGGAGGGGCGAGCGGGCAGCAACAAACGGCGCTGTTTTGAGGTTGTAATCGATAACGCGTTTCTTGAATTGACCAAAGAACCTCGAGGGCAAAGGAGACGATGGCAGGCAACTCCAACGTGGAGCGGTGCCACCGACGGAGCATAAATATTAAGAGAATTATTCACATATCCGACCTGCAGTGTGGTGAGCGATGAAGCGAGAGCGAGAGAAGGTTGGAGAATCAGTAAGCGGGTGAGGGAGCGGTTGGCGAGCGAGCGAGTGGGTGGGCGAGTTGTCATCACCTGCAGGATGGTGGTGGATCAGACGGAAGCAGTCAAGTGTCTGGCAGACCCGAGTCTCCCCCCAACATGGGCGCAGGAATATGACAATTAAAGTTTACGGGAACAGCGACCACGGCAATTCGCGGTCAATGAGTTAAGTTGAACAACGATGTTACAACCGACCACCGGAGCCGACCGCGGCCCGCGAAGGCAGTTTAGCCGCAGCCATGCAGGTGGTGATCGTGCCCGGCGGGTGTGGGAGTGCGTGCGCGCGTAACTCACCTGGTCGTAGAGGATGACGATCACAAAGATGCCGAACAGGAGAGACTCCACGAGTAAGACGATGGTGTGCGCCCTGCAAACCACAAACAAAGACACAGATCCCCCAGTGTAGCCTTAACAGACTGCTGGGGCAAGCACTGTTTAGCGAGCGCCTGTGAAGGCCGGCCCTAGGAAACCTAGGGGAGGCCCGGGACCGGTTCAGATAATCGTCACCGGCGTTGGTCTTGAGCGTGAATCGAGCTTGGGTGCCCAGGTTTGTAGCGCAGCGTGACGCTAACCACCACATCACCGCTCTCCAACCACCATTTATCGCTCAGGGGAAACTCCGTAGTGGCTGAACCCCCATGGGGCAGCATGGCCAGACAGCCGGCCCAGCTCGCCGGGTCGGCCCCTTTTCTACGGCGACGGCTGAAGAGTCACCCCGGGGCACCCGACGACGAAGGGCAGCGTACCCGCTACGCCTGCTGTTCGGAAACGGAATCTTTATTCACGCCAGAGGAAATCCGATGAGCTGTAAACCTCTTCGTCACAGATGTCCATATTGCTGGGCACCGCCCTGCCCCCGGCGTCACCCACGGCTAATATTAACCTAACCTCGATGGGGGGGGGGGGGGGGCGGTGGGGGGCGGGATACGAAGAGGATAAATTCATATTCTTTGGGTCTTTCGGTAAAGTCAAAAAATTAACAAAAACTATGACGTTTCGAGCGCAACACAAGCAATTGAAACGTCGTAGTTTTTGCTATTTTTTTTGTTCTACAATGACTTTATCGAAAGACCCAAACAATATGAATTCCTGCAGTCACGAAAGCTTTAAGTCAGGATTAATTAATATTGAAACAGCAATCGTTCAAAAAATGGAAAAAGCACGAGTGACCTGAAGCTGCATTCGGGGGTGTGGGGGGGGGCGCCACCACGCATTGCCAGAAGCGTCGTGAAATTGTTGGGGTCGTGGTTTTTCTTTTTGGCGCAGTTCAAAGGTCAGAAGTCGTACGTGGCTCATCATTAATAGCGTAGGTCTCTGGTTGCTTCCACTCAGAATGGGCTCTTACTAAGCTCCGCGTGTGGAAAGTTACCCCGGTAAGTGCCGTGACTAACGGACAAATTACGTTTCTTCTAAGAATAAGCACAAGAAGGTGCATTACTGGGCATGTGCATATGCCCAATTAACACGGTTGTCTACGTAAAGTTCAACATACGGTGAGAGAAAAAAGTATTTGATCCCTTGCTGATTTTGTACGTTTGCCCACTGACAAATAAATGATCAGTCTATAATTTTAATGGTAGGTTGATTTGAACAGTGAGAGACAGAATAACAACAAAATCCAGAAAAACGCATGTCAAAAATGTTATGAATTGATTTGCATTTTAATGAGGGAAATAAGTATTTGACCCCTCTGCAAAACATGACTTAGTACTTGGTGGCAAAACCCTTGTTGGCAATCACAGAGGTCAGACGTTTCTTGTAGTTTGCCACCAGGTTTCCACACATCTCAGCAGGATTTTGTCCCACTCCTCTTTGCAGATCTTCTCCAAGTCATTAAGGTTTCGAGGCAGACGTTTGGCAATTCGAACCTTCAGCTCCCTCCACAGATGTTCTATGGGATTAAGGTCTGGGGACTGGCTAGGCCACTCCAGGACCTTAATGTGCTTCTTCTTGAGCCACTCCTTTGTTGCCTTGGCCGTGTGTATTGGGTCATTGTCATGCTGGAATACCCATCCACGACCCATTTTCAATGCCCTGGCTGAGGGAAGGAGGTTCTCACCCAAGATTTGACGGTACATGGCCCCGTCCATCGTCCCTTTGATGCGGTGAAGTTGTCCTGTCCCCTTAGCAGAAAAACACCCCCAAAGCATAATGTTTCTACCTCCATGTTTGACGGTGGGGATGGTGTTCTTGGGTCATAGGCAGCATTCCTCCTCCTCCAAACACGGCGAGTTGAGTTGATGCCAAAGAGCTCCATTTTGGTCTCATCTAACCACAACACTTTCACCCAGTTGTCCTCTGAATCATTCAGATATTCATTGGCAAACTTCAGACGGGCATGTATATGTGCTTTCTTGAGCAGGGGGACCTTGCAGGCGCTGCAGGATTTCAGTCCTTCACGGCGTAGTGTGTTACCAATTGTTTTCTTGGTGACTATGGTCTAGGTCTACAAAAATTATAGACTGTCAGTGAGCAAACGTACAAAATCAGCAGGGGATCAAATACTTTTTTTCCCTCACTGTACATACATGCAAAAAACACAACTGGGCAGCTTGTGACAGCCATCCTCCACCAGAATGTCTGCGTGGAGGCGCGATGCTCACGAGAACTGAGCAGAGCCACACATGCAGTCCTTTTGAGCTGGTGGCCTGGTTAAGATTGACCGCTTTTGTCAGTGTGTATGTAATCGTGTGTAACATCCACGTTTGTGCATTTGTGTGCATGCGTGTCAACGTGCGTACACATTTATGTTTATGTGTGTATTTGCGTGCATCTGTGTGTGTACGCGTACATTTATGCACAAGTGCCTTGTGTATGTGTGTATATGTGTGTTTATACAAATGTGGGGAGCGGTAGTGTAGCGGTCAGCATGGTGCGCTACTAACCTGGCAACCCAGCTTCAATTCCCGCTCATGGCCAACACCAGTGACGATTATCTGAACCGATCCTGGGCCTCCCCTACATCGACTCAGCCTTAAATTAGTACCTGGTGCGATGTGTAAACATCGCCACTAGGGAGACAAAGACAGCCAGGCATGGTGTTGGCCACCCACCCCCTCGTGTGCCGTGCCGGCCTCTATAGGTGCTCGCGAACAGCACTTGCCCCGGACTGTCTGTTTAGGCTACACGGGGGATTTTTGTCTTGTAATAAAAATGATTTTAGTTACCAAAGCTACGTTGAGATAACATTATGGGTCTGTAGTAACGACTGGAGGGAGAAAAAAAATAAAAGGGAATTACAGTGTTCACAAAGAGTGACACGCAGGCTCAAGAGTTTTGGAATTCCGTGTTAAGGGTTCCAGCCTGGGACCCATAAACCCAGCGCCCACCGACATCACAAATTACACCACAATTGGTTGCCTATGACAGCCACCATTATATGCAATTGAATTACGATGTTTTTTTTGAAAGGTAAAGATATCGTCCCTCGAAGACTCCATAACCCTGGCCCATAAGGGACGCCATTGGCTCATTATTGTATTGCTCGTCTGCCCTCCGTTGATGTTGTCGTCAACTGCCCAGCGGCGCCGTTCATGAGCCTCCTCCGCAGATTCCGATCTTGACACTCCTGGTAGCAGTCATTGGCAAGTCCAATCAGTTCCACATCCTCTCGTACCACATCACTCCGCAGCTCCTCTAGCCTTTACCGTGCCCGTTTAGCACTCTCTGATCTTGCCAAACAGAAGCTTCATGGGCATGCTGTGGCTGGGCACGCGGGCTACATGACCCAGCCAAGGCAGCCCCCTAGCCTGCCGAGGGAGCTCACTGATGGGACTGTGTCCAGATCTTTCAAGGATCTGTGAGCTCATCGCATAATCCGGTCTGGTTAAATCCAGGATGATGGATCATAGGCAGGCCAGCCTGAATGGTTCAAGGTGGCGCAGATGGTCCATTAAAGCGGCTAGCCTGACACGTTTACGTGCACACACAGTGTTGGGGAAGGTGATCTGAAAGGGTAGCAAGCTAAAGCTACAAGATAGTTGTAGAAAGGTAGCAATCTATACCCATAAGATGTATTGAAAAGAACCAGCTGCTGCACTTAAAGCTAGTTCGAAAACGTTTTTTTAAGCGAGCTTACTATCCATGTTAAAACTGTATCTCATTTAAAACGTTATGCATGGTATAACATAACTGAATAGCAATGTTAAGTGTTATTCAACGTCATAACATCACTGAATTGGACGTAAAATATGCTGTACACTTCATAACATCACTGTACGACATTTGAAATGCACTATAAACTATGTAACACAACTAGATAACAATTAAAATGTACAAAGACAAATATCCCGCATGTAGCCTTATCAGATTTTTGGGGCAAGTGCTGCGAGCAATCACCTATGAAGGCCGGCACAGCACAGGAGGGGGTGGGTGGCCAGCACCACACCTGGCCGCCTTCATCTCCCGAGTGGCGATGTTTATACACCACACCAGGTACTCATTTATGCGTACCGAGTCAACCTAGGAGTGGAGTGGCCTATAACTGATTCAGATATTCATCACCGATGCTGGCCATATGGGTGGCTGGGTTCGTAACGCAGGGCACTTACCCAATTTCCCTAATAGCCACAAAATATTATAATCGTATAACATTTAAAATGCGCAACATACTAAACATATATATAAAACACTATATAACAATTACAATGTATTCATCAGTACATAACATCCCTATGCAGCTCTTACAATGTATTTTACGTTATATTACACTTTTGCACGGCATTTCAAATGTAAATGAAAGAGTGCTCAACCTCGTGATATCGTGATGATCTAAACCGCGCCGTTGCTATCGAGATGCAGCCGTGACGTTGCCATGGCGATGCAGCCACACGATCACTCGGCACGTGACAAATGGTCGCCTGCGGCAGTAGAACGGTCATTTCTCAACGAAAAAGATTCCACCTTTGACGTTTCCCATGAAAACCTGACGAATGTCGTTGGCAATAACTTCCTTGTAGTATCTGCGCTAGACGTGTGCACATAAGCATCGTGGTTAATTAATGGGATCACAAATCACCGTTTGCAGAGGTCGTCCGTGGCAGCAACAAAAAAACTACCCAACCAAAGTTCGTCACAATTGGCAGGAGGCCTCATCTCCCCCGAGACAACAAACCTACCGTATTTCACCACAGTGCGTCATTTCTCCATCACGCTACGAAGGAGGCAGACGCCCCTTTTGCTTGCAGTGCCGATCGACGTGCCCGTAACGATAGCAATAATATGTTGGCGAGCGCTTAGCGCACTGCCCTACACAAACTCGGTGACCCAAGTCTAATTCTTGGCCCCGGCTAGCATCGGTGGCTGTACGGGGATCTTTGTGTGCGTGTGTGTATGTATCTGTGTGTACGTATACGTGTGCATGTATGT